CATGCTTATGTATTTGGTTAACATGTAAATTGAGTGTACAAGTAACTGTGTTAACCATTGTCCTCTCAGTGAATAAGGTGTGAAATCAATAATTTTTTCCTTCACTTTATATTTTCTTAATGTTATCTTATCTTTGGCATCATATTAACCCCATGATAATTCTCATCTCTCCTTTAGGTTTACTTTCAGTGTAGCCTGTGTTATTAAAGAGAAAAGGATCACAACCCAAAGACATGAAGTTCTGAAATGTCTTGGGGTCCTTAATGACAAATTCTAGATTGAATTGGCCAGTACTCACCATCAACATGATGAGAACAGGTGAATGTGGAGGTCATGGTTCATTAGTCCATCTGTCTATAAAATAGTGTTGGTTGGTGATCACTTGCTGTTTAGGGATTTGGAGCCATATTGGATATTTATAAAACATGAAGATTCATTATAATGTTCACAAAAAGCCATCCAGCCTACCTTTTGTCTCTACGACTCATTTTCAGTTTTATCCTTACACACCTGTCTTTTAAATGTTCTCATCTTTACAAATTTTGTTGCGTTACTTAGTGTGTGCTGTATGTTTCAAGCAACTCAGTTCCAGTGATTTAATAATACTATTAGATGAAGAGTGTAAATTATGAAGCACTTTTATTATGTATTTATATATCACAGAATACTTGCATTTACTTTCCACTTTATTTAACCATGAAATTACAATTCAGAAAAATTTCTTACCAAATCCTGGCAGAATGACATTAAATTACAACAGCAATTCAACTCACTTTTACAGGCAATAAGGAAGCAATTCACCAGTGTGTAAAACTTTTCTCCTTCTAGAATTCATGTACAAAATTATTTTTTTAAGTTTTAAATTGTAAGGCTTTCCTTGAAAAATTAAGACCAATTCCATCTTGGTAATAGTGAACTAAACATTCCGACCCGTTGCAACTATTGACATGAATGTAATCAAAGTGAGGAATATATCAGTAGTGGAATACTGTTAAATACAATTTTAGTTAGCAATACAGAAATCAGTCGTGATTTCCAACAGAAAGACTATATGAACCATCTCTTCCTTCATTTCTACTCTTCTATAATGTACTGGGTTTATATTTCCAAGAGCATCTCTACATTGTTTTAATTATGAATATATGAAGTCTCCAAATTATAAATCCATCTTAGATAGTGACAAGATGTGTGTTCAGGTACATTCAACAAAAATAGTAAGGTCAAAAATTCTACAATGATTTTAAGAAACCAAAGCAGAACAAAAACATGTTTGATAATAAATAAACTGCGGAATGGGTCTACTGATATATTGTTATAATTCCTGTAGATTTACATATTAAAACAGTTAAGTTTTCCATACAAACACAGTTCTCTCCCTCTTCACTGAAACACCCAACATACGGTATGAAATACATTCAAAACTGAATCTTTCATTCTTTAACTTTCTGTATTTTTCATCTCTTCTTACTGTGCTTGCAAACACTGGAAGAACTAAGCTGGAATTGGAAACAGAGGGCAGTTCATATTTTTTAACAATATCATTTTATATGGTTAAAGTACAGTACATGAAAAATGACTTAGTCATTATTTAATACAGATTATAATATAAGGTAAATGAAAAAATTATACTCATAATTTTCCTGAAAAAAATATCTTCATAATTCATGTTACAGTACAATAGATGGGTGGGTAAGAGCTCATGGTCTGAAGTACATAATGAAACACTGAAAATTTTCTCAAAAGCAGATAACCGTGAAACCAGTCAATAATTACATATGTGATATTTTCATCAAACACTGGAAAATGTATACATTAATCAATAACTGCCATCTATACCTTTAGATCTGTAATAAGTATACAATAATTCTGCAAAGCTTTGAATTACTATTAGGAAACAGATTAATTTAATGTGTCTTACAGAGGTAAAAGACATGTTCCATGTTTGCTAGCATTCTTCCTGAATCTCGCACTTCTACAGGCTCTCTCGACTGATACTGTGTACTGAACAGGAAAATATGCAAGGTTTTTTTCAACCAATACAAAATCCTAAATTTTTCATTTCACATGTGCTTAAAAAGGGTTTTAAAAATCAATTCCCTACTGCACACACTTACGTCTAGCGCATGCGATAAACGTTCGTTTCATGTACTTCACCAAGCTCACCCTTGAAATCTAATTCAATAGTGAAGTCCAGATCTCTATTATTACGAGCATTGGGTTTCATTGAAAAAACCCCATAGATCTCCTCATTTTTCTTCACTGTTAGATAATCATCAAAGTAAAACACAGTCTGTTTCCAGTGAGTGTACGGGGCTTCAGGTGCTGTGCTGAAACCAATTCTTTTGTGACATTTTGTAAATTCAATGTTGAAGAAGGTGACAAGTGCCTGAATGTAGTCATTACGACGTACTTGAAGATGGAATGGTGCTGTGAAATTTAGATCTTCTTTTGTTACAGTGTACAGATCAACTTCTTTCAGCAAACATGCATTTGTCACCACCTGAAAAGTTTTACAAAACAAGACTAAAATATAAGATATTTTCCTCCCACAATTTCCCTAACAAAAGCCTAAAATTTTAAAATCACATTTTTGTGTGCAAAAACTATAGAAAAATATTTCATAAATGTTAAAATGATAATGCAGATACCTTACATACAACAGCTAAATTAAAATTCAATTTCACTATATACTTCACTCATAAAATGGTTATTAACTTCATAGGTTGACTGTATATACCTGCTTTGGATCCACCACATCAACCAGGGGTTCACTGATTGCCACCCGTCTTATAGAACTCATATCAAAGCCATATACATCATCCCACCAGTTGATTTTCTCATCCTTATATTGGCGATCTTCAATTCCAGTCACAAAAAGAGTAGCTCTATCGGGAAACAGCAAACCATCAGGGCGAAGCCACTTGTCTCTGGCAAATAAGACAGTGTCTAACATTGACTCATAGAACAGGCAATAACCCATCCACTCTGAGATAATTATGTCAACACTATCCAGACCATGAGGTAACTCCACCTCCTCAACTTTTCCTTTCACAATAGTCACGACGTCACTCAGTTGGTTAGCTTCTACTATCTGTTTGGCATACTCCACAATATTGGAACATTCTATACCAATGACACGGGCTGCTCCTGCTTTAGCAGCAAACATAGACAGAATGCCTGTTCCACAGCCAATGTCCAGAACAACTTTTCCCTGTTAAGAAAACTGTATTTTAGAACATGATATTTAAACACTATGACATTTGTCTGATTACTATAAACTGACACATCACACACAATTTAGACTCTTTCCAGTAAATACTTGAAATATTTCAGCAATACTATACTGTGGAAATTTCATGATGATAGCTAATGTAAGTCATACAAACCTTGAACAAATGTTTATTGTGGTACATAGAATTCCTGTACGTGAGTGTTCGAACTTCATCTTTCAACATTTCTTCGTGTATTCCAAAATGGGCATAAGAATCAAAATAATAATCTCTTGATGTCATTTCATCAACACTGATTTCCTTTCCAACTTTGTCATTTACCATCTCCTTTATTATAGGTACAGCCTCAGAGGTTACTTCCATATTTTCCATTTTGGTTCCCTACAAATGAAACAAAATGAAAAATGTAACACAGACAAAGGAATCACAGAAACTTCAGATGAGAAATCTATTTGAGAGTCTCCAGTTTGAAGACAAAGATGGAGTTAAATGGGTACTATGAACTGAAAAAGGTTGGAACAGACTCCATACTTTTGTTCCTTAAAACCATACTGTAAACTAATGTTTTATAAAAAATTGTTTATACTTTAGTTATATGTGGCTGTATACACAGACATATATTTGCAAGTTTTTCTGTTATTCCCGTAAGGAAATCGGGGCACCAGAGTGGAGATCATTCGAACAGCCTGTATTACTTTCTTTGTTAACCACAGGTAGGGCACCCAATCTCACAGCCAAAATAGGTAACCTGTGTGTTAGTCCCTTCACGTATATAATTGGCTTTCCCGTACAAAAAATACCATGTACTTATAGTTAAAACAATTTAAAACTGCTCACAAGATGAATGGCACGACTATAGATAATACAACTGACTTAAAAGTAGCAATATTTTGCAAATTGCTTAGAACCAAACATGGGGAAACTGCAAACATTTTAGTCAGTCCATTAAACGTTTATCAATCACTCGAGAAACTAAATATTCTGCATTCAATACTGTGTATTGTTTCGTTGGCAAATTGTATTCCAAGAGCCACTATTTCGTCAAATATAGAGTAATTAACCGCGTGGATCACACGTGTGCGTGATTGTATTGAATCTGCATTTTACTTCAAAAATATATCTAAAGAACAATAATTTCGTACTTGTGAATGATATGCGTATTTCTATGTTATACTACTAAGAATAAAACTAATTTCACCTTTAGACAAATTTACGGTACTGTCAAACAAAGCACCAATATTCTCACTCCATACAACAGCCCGCGCACTAATAGCCTGCTTTCAACCAAAATGCGAGTCTACTACCCAAATATTTAGCTACTGAAGTTCGGTATTCAATGGTATGAATATGAAAAACTTATTAATTTAGATACTAGACATACAAGGCGAAAATAGCATGTGCTGTTTTCATGTTCCATTAACTTTACTTACCGGTAATATAACATCTTTTACTCCTGTGTCGTGATTTTCTATCGGTCTACCAACACTTGCCGCCATGTTTACCACCAGCAGACCACAGCAGACGGCGCAGTGTACGGCGTAAATAATTTCGCAGTGATCTTTACTGCAGTGACTCCATTATAATTGTACCTTATAGTTTAGTATTATTACTGATTGTAGTATTTATTTTTTATTAGTTATCGATGACAGTTATGTACATAATAAAATTAAATACAGCTTCTCAGGAAGACCACATGACCAGTGACCAATCAGGATAGAGAATCTCATGAGTTGTTTTTCAGTTTTTGGATTCAGCTTGCAGATGGCTGGGAAAGAGGTCATGACGGCGTGTTTATGAATTTGTTACGACTGCTCTGTTGTAAAGTGAAAATTAATTGATGTTGTGTTTTTACTGTATCACCGTCCGAGAATCAAGACATACGATAGACAGAAATGCTGGTAATGTGTTTTTTTAGAATACTATGTAGAATATAAGCATTTATCTGCAAGAACGAAACTCCTGTACGCTTACATATTATTGTGCTTTTTGCCATTCTCGCTGAATGTTATGGTATAATACATTATTAGTTATTTCGTTATCTGGCTGTATGATTACCGTGTTGTCATTCTGCACAGCATACACCAACTTCTGTGCCTTAATCAGTTCAGCTATATTGTTGTGTAGTTACGTGATTACAAATACCAATAAATGCAAGTAGTCAGGTTCAGTTTACAAGGAAGTAGGTGGAGTTGGCAAGAACAGCATGGAATTCAAATGTAGAGGAATTCAAGTAGTAATTTATTTATTTGTGATTAATTTTATGATGCTTTCAGTAGCCTAGACTGTGTTGAATGATTAATGGACAGTGAATGTGAGAGAATATGGAAGGAAGTGGTCATGGCCTAATTTAAGGTACTGTCCAGGCATATGCCTGGAAGGACTGGGGAAAACCATTAAAATCATCAGGAATCATATCTAGTCTCTGGGCCAAGATTTGAGCATGGGACCTCCCTAATATGAAGCAAAATACTGATGGTTTGACAGTGCCATTGTTTAACATACTTTAGTAGGTGATTGGAAGGAGTAGCAAATTGTCATATTTCTATGTAATAATATTATTATACATAACCTATTATGATAAACTGGAGTATGAGTGATGTACATGTACTCTTAGCATGCCTTGACTCCTCATGCTTTATGTTGTCTCCTTGTTGTTTGTCCTACTGTTGCCTTCTGTTGTTAATGAGTAGTGTTATCCTGCTATTCTTCATGCTTTTTGGACTGGACACACATGTACTTTCTTTGTTGTCTCAAATTACCATTCATTACTTTTGTTTGCTCAGTATAATTTTATTAATTTATTGAGTTGAGTTCTATAAACAAAAGACTGTCTCACTATCACTGAATTTTTCATTTTTCTGATTATATCTTACTAGTTTTCTTATTTTATATAAATGTAGATTTTTACAAATATTCTCCAAATTTTTTTAATTATACAACATTTGTACATTTTATTATTCTCTTTAAGCCACTTCATTGTTTGCAATAAACCACTTCTTCCTCAAAAAAGTTTTGCCATCTTCCTCATTTGTTACAATACAAAGAAACAGTCTCTTCCCTTCTACGTCCTTTATTTGTCCACAGCTTCTATGTACCAACTTCAAACCACTTCTGTTTCTTGTATACCTGTGCATAAAATATTAATGACGTTATGTCACTAACATCTGGTAAAGGATTGTGATATTTTATATCGTTATAAAGCTGTCCTGCTACACGCCATGTAGGTCATTTATGGGGAGTGGAGGTATAGCTCTTACTCTTTCTTGACCTTTGCACTAGATAGGTGCGAGTGGTCAGCATCATGCCCCGGCCACGTTTTACCCCGGGAAAGGACCCCAATACTGATTGGCTAGGAGGCTGGGTGGGCCCCAGAGCTGGTCTTGACACAGAGGCTAGAGGAAAATCCTTGCCCCTGTCAGGATCGAACTTAAACAGTCTTGTTAAATCTACTGATCGTCTGGAGGCATTAGAAACATGCTGTTTCTTTTATTTTATGTTTATTACATTTTATCATTTTCATGCTCAATCTTCTGAACACGTTGAACAAATTAAATTAAAACTTGAAACTTAGGTGACTTGGTTGCCAGAGCCTTGTTTGTGATGTCGGAGTGTGTATTACATGAAGGTGAGTTTGGTATTGGGGTAGAAGATTGTATATTTTGAATCTTACATTTTTATTCTTGTGTTTCAGGTTAGTGACTATCAAAAGGCACTATATGTAACAACTACTTAATGCAGCATTGGAGTAGGAAGAAGGGAATGATGGTAAGCATGTGAGATCTCATTCAAGGAGTTTGTTTTACAGATGTGAAACAAAATTATGTGTTGTTGTATAATAAAGGATATACAGGAACATCAAACAAAGACATGGCAGTTTTAAATGCCTGTATTTATAAACCATTTTCAGCTGAAGGTTGTCTGAATAATGGTTAAACATTCAGTTCCTTCCTCATTACAGAGATCAGTTGGTTCAAGCTGTGTAAGTAAATGATCACTGTTTGCTTTGAGATCCATGCAAAATCCATAAATACACTTTGTGGGTAAAATGCAGAATTATAGGATTTGAGGTTCTCGTGGCAGTGAGTCTGAAGATGGCTGTATTCAGAACGCTGAATTATATTTTGTTAAGGCAAGTGGTACGTGTAGTTACCACTGGGCTTCAAAGGGTTCATGTGCTGTACTGAAATACATTAATTTGGTGATATAGAATGTATGACTGTTGGGGGATTGTTATAAATTATTTGCCCTAGATAGACAAATCATCAAATTTTCTGGTTTATTTCGCTCAGTATTTAAGCCAGAGCATAGAGTCATCTCAAATCAACATCTGAACGATTTGGAATTGGATGGTCTTGGCCACGTACTCACTGGATTTAAATTCCTGTCATTATTTGTTATGAGGATTCCTGAAGGACTGTGTCTTCAGGCATGATCCACACATATAATTGCAGAATTGAAGGAAGAAATCGCAGCTACGCTGATAAGAGTCACCAAAGAAACATGCTGCAGTTATGACAAATTTTAATCAGTGTTTGTAAATAGTATTGAAAGCAGACAGACCATGTATTGAGTATGTATGTATGTATATGTGAATAAAATCTCCCATGTTTATTAGTGCTTTGGTATCAGAACCAGTGCTGTTAATGCAATACATTAATAAATATAAACATTTGAAACTACCACATCCTTTTTGGTGACCTTACATTTTTGTGGCTGTAAAATGACAGCCTCTGTGAAGAGAACTGCCTCACAATATTTGAGCAGTTGATTGGGTTTCTATCTCTGGAGTTTAAGTTATTCTTGATCATCCAGGCCAAAACAAAATATAGTTTAATCCCACAAGTATGGTCATTAGGAAACATGTAGAACAAGTTGAGTTAAAACTCTTAATGACATTGTACCAGCTACAGAAATTATGTAGTGCTGAACGATATGAAAGGATGCTTGTACAGAATGTGTCACTTAAAACACAGCTGAACAATAATCACATATTAAGGCATAAGGATTAAATTCAAGCTAGGCAACAAAACAGTTAAAATTATGGTCATGCCGATTTCCAGCAGTGCATCAGCTGCAACAACAGTTGCAAAAATTTGATATTGACACTGGCTCTGTCAGTTTGTACATGAAAGGGTTCATGTGCAGCAGTTTGGGTTGTGCTTTAAGTGAAACATTCTGTATATATTGGTTTACTGAGGGTGAAGCCCCAGTCATGACCTACTGTAAGGCATCCCGTCATAATTCTTGAGAAGAAACAGTGTAAGATTTGAGGTTTTCACAGCGTATGAAGATTTCTGTCTTCTGGGTTGTTGCGCTGTGTAGTCTGGTAGATGTTAACCAACGTTTCTGAGGTCACACTGCCTCAGTCATCAGGGCAATTCACCATTCATTCGTTGGTAAACATCTACCTTACTACACAGCGCAACAACCCAGAAGACAGAAATCTTGATGAAACAGTGCTTGGAACATCCAGTGCACTGCCAAGAAATAAACTGGGTGCTTCCTAAATGTAAGTTAGACATTTACGTAACTTGATCAGGTTTATGAATGAACTATAGAAGTTGAACTACATTTTTTTGTTACTCTTGAAAGCTGCTACAGTCGTTATATTGCCAGTGTTGAATGAAAGTGAACTGTGCTAAGCTGGACTATACAAAATTAAATTAACCTTCCATGCTTTGCATACTAATTTAAGTAATATATGACTTAATGTTTATTTATATTGACTGAAATGTGTGAATGACTGATCTGTGAATTGAGAAAGACGTGGAAGGCAGTGATGTATTGTCTTGACTATTTTGTGGAGGGACTGAAGGAAATGGCAAAAGACTTGGGGTAGCCAGCCTTTTGGTCTCAAATAAAACCCAGGATCTGATGAATATAAAACTACCAGTCTGCATTGTTGGTGTTCATGGATTTAGCTTTCTGCTTTCATCCTAATGGCTGAAAAAGTGAGCAAACAACTACAGGGTGGGTGGGAAGTAAGTAGGCACTAAATAATCACTTTTCATTGGAAATATAGGGGTTATAACCATTTCTCAATGCCTACTTACTTCCCACCCATCCTGTAGATAAGTATCAAAATATGTTATTTTTTTGCAGGGAGATGACCCACCTTACCTTACAGTTGGCACTGAGGTCAGTGCCAAATATAAAGGAGCGTTCTGTGAAGCCAAAGTGCGAAAGGTGGTCAGAAGCGTTAAGTGTAAGGTATGTGCAAACAGAATGTACTGATGAAAAACAGTAGAATGTGGCTGTCATCTGTGATGTTGCACCCTGGTGGTGGTGCAGTAAGCTCCTCTGAAAATCAGTTGGTGTGTACCAGAATTCATGGTGCAACATTTCTGAAGTCATTGCCAATTCTCACTGACACACAATAGAAATACAGTCTTTAAGTATTAGTGTGACCAGATTGATGCAGATCTCACAGAACCTGATTTATCAGGTTTGTTGGTTCATTGACATAGCCAGGGTATTTGTCATTCTAAACAAACCTTCAGCCTCGCCTTTTCCTTCCTCCCCAAGGCTGTTTTTTTGTCAGGAAATGTGCCGACTGGTTACATTGTCAAATTCATTACATGCACATCAACCATAATACCAAGTATTGTGGGCAGCATATTACGAAGGCAAGTGTATATAATGCTACAAGGATTTTAAAAGCTTAATCCATATTTTGTACATTCATGCATGACTCGTGGAACTTGATGAGGATAAAGTAACTTCAGCACTGCAGATGGATTACACATTTCATTCAGACATTTTAGACAAGGTTTTTAAAACTGATTTTTTCACCTAAGTAGATATGTCATTAGTGAGAACAGCACATTATGGAGTGCTGAAAATCCATATACCTTCCATACAAGGCCTGTAATGGGTTGCATCAAACATGAGAAGAGAGCAGATTCATGCATTGCTGAATGCTGTAGACATTTTTAACATTTGATATATTTTATCCGTGGTGTGAGAGCCCCCTGAGAGCCAAAGCCGACTAGCTGGCTGCTAGCCTAACGTTCAAATGCCTAAGCAGAGGTGAACGATCATCCAACCAGATATAGGGTGACATGCAGTCAGCACAACGCCCCTAGCCATGACCGGAAACATTTGATATAAACGTTGTTTTTTGTTTTCTGATTTCAGTCTAATTAATTTTTGAAATGTAGAACATCTGTCAGGAATTGGTTGCATGAATTCTTGATGACTGTTTTATTACCGCGCGTGAATAGTTGGGGGAGAAAAGCCCTGCGAATAAATGGTGGCATAGAAGACCAATAAGAAAGTGGGAGAATTACCTTAGACTTGATTTTGGGGAAATAGGCTTTGAGGATTTGGATCGAATTTAATTCTTATATTATGTCCAGTGGTGGGTTTTGGTCTTGGCAGCATTGAATTATTTGTTCAGTTATATGGGTTGTGTATTTTGAAGTCAACTCTACACTATAAATAACGATTATTGTACTTTCATTTCTTTGTATTTGCAGTTAGTATACTTTTTATTTTCTGTTGGCCTAGCACAGAAGTTCCCATTGCACTAGCTGCTTTGCCTTCCCTACCTATCTTTGGCCATCATCTGTTTGTCTTGTAGATTTATTTCATGCTGTCTTTTTGTGTTATAAATACTGCAGAATGTCAAGATTTTGTATGTAAAGGAGTGTATTTTGTTTCTAAAGGAGGTGAGATGCTGAAAGTGTAGATAAAAACTTGAAATTGTTGCTGCTGTTTACTCTGTTATCAGTGTTGCTTAATAGAGGTAGAGATAAAGAGTTAGTTTGTAGAGTTTATGTGTACCAAACCAGAATGTGTCTGTTGTAGTCCTTGAGGTCAGAAGACATGTTTGCCATGTAATGGAACAGTGGCCAAATTCATGAAATGGAAAAAGGTAGACTAGGAAGATTTTTTGAGATTCCTCACCTCCATTAGTGTTCTGTCTGTGATTTATTTGCTGTTTAACCACATCCATGCTGATATATAACACTTCATTTACTTAATGAGATTTGAAGTTCTAATGGTGACTGGTATGAAGATGGCTGCCTTCTGGGTTGTTGCACCCTGTGGTAGGCTAGTAGAAGTTTACCAACATATCGAATGTGCATGCTGCTGCAATCATTGCCCTGATGATGGAGGCAGCGAGCACCTCTGGAATGTTGGTAAACTTCTACCAGTCTGCATAGTGCAACAACCCAGAAGACAGCATCTTCTCTACATTTACTCACTTGTTTCTTTAATTAATGCTGATGGGAAACCATAAAATAGCCACATTGAAGTGTCATATGATGGAAATGTCCTTTTTTCAGGTTTATTTGGTGTTATTTACATTTAGCTTTATGTGGAGACTGTTCTGTTCACGTTTTTAGCATTGTAAATCAGACCATCTATTTAAGTGTAAGAGCTGGGTGTGTGTAGCTAAGAGAATCAGGTTGCAGAGCAAAAAGAATTCTTGGGGTGTGTGACCTTGAAAGTACAGAAACTTCCCGGAGAGGCTGCAGATATTCGGAATTGGTGGGGGTGAGTTCATCTGTAGTTCCCTGTCACCTCCATTTATAATGTTTCTGAGTTTCCATTTGAAGTCCATGAGGTACAGAATGGGTGAAAACTGGTGGTTTGTGGCACTGATTGATTCATTACAGTGCATTTTATATTGAATACTATGCATTGTTCAGAGGTAAATTTGAGATATTCTGGTGTATTCTAGCGATTAACCTACATGATTAATATTCAGAAAGACTGTTGGGTTTGCTCTTTATTGCCGACACTAATACGTATATAAAATGATAGGGAACAATCCCCTGAAGAGTGGTGGAGCCATCTCCAGAAACGTCACGCAGCACACTTGCTGTGTTTATAAACTACAACTGTTTGTCGGTCAACCTTTGTGCATCAGAAATGTGCAATCACTGGGACACTTGCCGCTGGTCACGTAGACATTGAGGCCCCGAATCCCCTTCCAGTCTTCGTTGCTTTTAATTTCATGATCACGTGTATTGTGGACACAAAATATCCGCGAGCTTCAGTCACGTCACAGAGAGAAACGAGAGCCGGTACACCGATTTTCACCAAATTTGGCGTGGGTATTTCTTGAAACCGGGAACGGTCAAAACGCCGAAAAAGTGTGCTGGATGTGAAACCCTTCGAGGGTGGTTTCTATATCGGGGAAGCTAAGCACGATAGAACGCAATAGAACGTCGCCAAAACCGGAGTTGTTTTTTCCGAAGTGGAGAATTACAGAAACAACCACCACAGCCCCGAAAAATTGTCAAGGTTTCGAGTCATGGTGAAGATGGTTTTAGTAGTTCGGAAACCAAACACCACAGAAAAACTGCGCAAAGATCGAACTTTCTACGAGATTACAGAAAGTGAGGTTAAAGACCCCCAAAATGCTCTGGGTTCGTTTGATGATGATTGGCTGTGATATTCAGGGATACGTATGGAATTGCCAGGCCCCTGATAAGCTTCGGACAGTAGACTGACAAGAAATGTAAGCATTTGTCAAATTTGCCCGCAGTATTACTGCAGGCACTCTGCTATTTTAACTATAATCAATGTTCTTACATAGAATTATTCATCATCATTGAGTTGTCTTTAAGATTGTTTTATTTAAAACATGTAAAATTTTGATCACAAACCTTTGCTTGAATGATATACTTATTGTCCGACAGCCAGCAGAGTACAACTTCTAGAGAAAGTTAACATATTGAGCCCCATATCACGTTTCATAATGTAGGTCCCTTATGCTTTTTAACACCTGGACAGATTTCAAGGACTTTGCGTGACTTACTAGAATGCTGTCCTTCCAGTATGTGGCGATAATTTAACGATTTGTGAGAAGATGCAGGTACTCCAGTTGTTGATGCCTGGTACGCCGGTGAATGTGTTGGTGGTGAACATTTATACCTACGTTTCTATACTGTAATTGGCACTTGAGCCATGAAGATGGATACCGTATTTTCCTCCGAAACTTTAGTACTTCCGGATCTACACGGTGTCGCAGCCTAGTACTCCAGTTGATTGTCATTTGTTGGCGATACAGATACATTGTTTTGAAGCTAATTTTGTTAGAAAGTAGATGGGAGAATGTTCACATTGATTTCAGATGAGTGGGATGTAATGTTGTGGGCTGGGGATAGGGTTCAGTGTCAGGCTTTTGTAAACATGGCTATGAACCCTAGGGTTCCTTAAATGCAGGGAATTTCTACTTTACAAGAGGTCCAGCGCCATGAGTTTTGTTAGACATGCTCAACTTTTACTCGCATTTTGTTAGTCACGTTATCAAAAATCAGAAATCGCATATCTTGGTCACTCTGCTGATTTTAGACATTGGAGTCGTAAAACTGTATGTAAAATGTGACTTGTGTTGCTAAATCTACAACTGAAATTGACGCCCTAGTTTCAGTTATTAATGTTGTGTGAGTTTAATGGTTGAAGACCTGTCTGTCTGAACGGGACAAGAACTCTGTCCAGATAACGCCACAGTGTACTTTTTAATACTTTGCTTGTATTATGGAGGCTCCGGTTTGAATCTCGGTCTGGACACTGTTTATTCAAGAGTTAATTCGTGTTTTCTCAAGTCGTCTTATCACGTTGGAGTTCTGGGCTGGAAAAACAAATACAGTTAGTAAAGCGTTGTAGCAAGCATACCCGGCCACATACAAGTTGTAAAAACGAAGATGACTACCTTCTGGGATGTTGCGCGGTGCAATCTCGTAAACACTGACGACGTTACAGGGGTGCTTACTGCTTGGATCATCGCCCAGACGATAAAGGCAGTAAGAACCTGAGAATTGTCGGTCAGTTTCTGTGAGATTACACGGCGCTACATCCCAGAAGACTGTCATTGATGTCTTACAGGTTGAAAAACGTTGACGCAGTGAGGCTGTAGAGTTTGGTGCGATTTTTATGTCTGCAAACGCATAATGACGACTCCACCACTACCCGTTGAGGAATCTTGCTGGTAAGAGAAAGTCTCCGTAGGTGATAGGTAGGGGTGTAACAGGCCGCTCACACTCTGGGATTAATCAATAAACAAAGCGGACGTCGACTCTGTCTCTGTGCCCTCCCAGTCTTATGCGTTTAGAGTGGACTTCATTCTGCAGATAGAAACCATGTTCATTGTTGCAGATTCGTTGGGACATGACGCTGCGTGTTATAAAGGTATGGTTACGCGACAGTTATTTGTCGTCAGATGAGAGGTGGTTCGTGTTAGTTTCTATTAATTGAAGATCTAGAAACAGTAACAACGGATGGACCAGAATTTCTACGCTCTTCTCACATTTCCTAACTTGTTTTGACGAACTTCAACGTGGACTTCGTTGAAGATTTCTCATTAGTTTCACACTACTAGCGGAATCGAAATCAGTCGTTATACAGAGACCTCTTTTCGAATCAGTTCGGAAATGTAAACTGAAGGTCAACGAGCATATTTGATCGGGAAGGAGCGGTTTGTCAGAGTTACTCTCCTGATTATTTCAATCTTTCGCCACCCACCGTAATAATTTCGTGTGTGAGTTGTTCTAAGGGGCCAGAAGGCGCTGGCATTGTACGTGTAGTACACGCTTCCGTCCCAGTTTTACTTCGTGCCATAGTTTATTGAAATGCCAGGAATAACTGCTGTCAGTCTCTGGGAACATTAGATTACTTTTATTTCTGGAACTGAAGCCAATTTGGCTGCGTTCTTCACTCGTGCCGAGTGTATTGCATTTTGGTCGTAGTGGATGTTCAGAAATCTGATATTGAATAATACTTTCAGATTTGACCGATGCACTGCTTTAAATAATTCTCTGAAGGTCTTAATTTTTCAAAGAAATTTGATGTTTTGCATCGAGTAGTACAGCTGGTGACTCCTTCAATATCATAATATATTGATTGTGCTTCGTGATTGAACCACGATCAACAGTGAGATGCACGTATTGTTGCCTGTATTCTAGGATGTCCCAGTTATGTTTTCACTAGTTGAAAACTGCGTGATCTCAGCGTAACTAGTTTGTGTCTGAATTCGCTCTTACGTAAATGCAATGCAACGTTTGCATTGATAACCGTCCATGGCTATGTCAACAACTGCTACTGTTGAAGAATGCAAACAATTTTGAGATGCTAAGTGGGAGAAAGTGGCTCTTTCATTGGCGAAATGAGAACTTACCTGCTTGGTCAGATGCTGCAATGAGAGAGGAGATGGCGTTTCATCTCTGTCTTTGGCTGATTACATTAGCCACGCGGTTTAGAGCGTATACTGCCATGGGTACATCGAACACTGGGATCGTGGATTCGAATGTTAATCAAGACTTATACAGGAATACCTCGGAGATCGGTTCCAGACTACCTCGGAGATCGGTTCCAGACCACCGCAATAAAGCGAGTCACGATTTTTTTTTTCCAGTGCATAAAAAGTTATGTTTACACTATACTGTAATCTATTAAGTGTGCAATAGCATTATGTCTAAAAAAAACAATGTTAGAACATTACGAGAATTACCAAAATGTGGCACAGACACGAAGTGAGCACATGCTGTTGGAAAAATGGCGCCGATAGACTTGGCTCGACGTAGGGTTGCCACAAACCTTCAATTTGTAAAAAAAAAAAACGCAATATCTGCGAAGCGCAACAAAACGAGGTATGCCTGTATACGGGATCAGCATGTTTTTGTGTTACCCCGTATAGGTGGAACTCCTGGATATAGACGGGTGTGCTGCATTGCGCAGGCCATTTCTCCAGCTTTCTCGGAATAGTCGGTCAGCCCTGTTTTTATTCAGAATTTATCCCGGAACAAAGATTCATTATTTGATAGGTTTCAGTGGATGGGGCCTATTGGAAAGTCTCCATAAGCAGGATAACGCCATAGTATAATGTGGACATCTCGAACTGGATTCGAAAACGCGATCACAATGTTGGAGAACCCATATGTGTAAACAGATTAAAATGTGATCTTATGTCAAAGATCGTCATCTTCGCTGAGGGGATAAAATGTTTTTCTCGTGATAGAATGAGAAAAGAGTTACGTAACATCGGAAGGAAAGTGTGTATTCACGGGTAAGAACAAAGACCGACCAGAAATGGTGACCCCACAACAGTTCCTTCCACTAGTGTCCGGGACGCAGCAATGGTTCTTGGCCGTTCCTGATTCGCTGTAGAACAGCAGTTGTTTTCCCTCTGAGCGGAACACGTGTTTATCTCACATTGCATTGAATATAATCTACAAAGTTTTTTTTTTTCGCACGTCAGAATATATTTATTTACAATATAAACAATCAAGTCCATTTCGTGATGTCAAGATTTAGCTGGTGTCACAAACCATCATTGAAAATTTACAACTGAAATTATGCACGAGAGAGTATTTGGGAAGTCTTCCGTACTGTCAAGCTAGCGATACTATGTGAAGAGAGTAGTAGTAATGTCCAGCACAAACCATTTGATCTCAGAGGCGAAATAGAATATGAAGGAATTAGCGATTTGTAAAATTATACTTTTTATGCTGTTGAGGCTTACGCTCGCTGCGAGCGTAACAACTGACTGGCAGGAGCTCGCAAAGTATACGTTTGAATCACAAAAGTTTTAGAGAGCCTTTCTGCCTCGCCCTAATAATGGAGACAGCAATGACCTCAGAAACGTTGGTAAACTTCTACCAAACTACACAGCGCTACAAAACAGAAGACAGCCATCTTCGTATTCACCGACGTGAGAACCTCAAATCTTGTTCAGTGCCGTGTTCACAGAAGCCCGCAACTGGGCTCTGTCCTGAAATAATACAAGTCCCCCGTCTTCACATCCTTCATTTTAATGCTGACCCATCTATGTACCCTTCGTCGTTTCTTGAAGTGTTCCGTCTGAAATATGTTTCACGCCTCCCCCGTACGTACTACATGTCCCAGCCATCTCATCCAGACTTGGTTAATCGCCTTAACAGTCTTAGGCGAAAGGTACAACTTAGGAAACTCTTCACCGTCTCTCTATTAACTTCTGTCTTAGGCTTAGACATTCTCATCTCTTCGTGAAAAGTAAACTTTGTCTGCAGCCACTGTGTGATATGCTTTGTATATCTGTTTGTCTCTCTCCTCCAGGTAACCTTCAAACTTGGCCTTGGCTCAGCAATCATTACGGACGACCAGATCAGAGGCACGCTCAGGGTAAGTTGGAAGTCATCTTCGCGTGGAGGATGGAATTGTCTGTCTGTTCAACTGCAGCACAGACCTTGAAGGCTGTTGTTTTTGTTTTTCCCGCTCGTGTTTTTGTTGTTCGCGTATCGGACTGTCTGTGCCGAAAAATAGAAAATTAAACACGTTTTCAAGCGCGAAGTTCTTCTTACACCCTAAAAACACCGCTACGCTCTTTAATAAAATAATATATATTTTGCATTTATATTGGGAAGTAAATGAAAACCATTATGCAGTATGTAGGCGAAATGTGGAATTATCGAACGTTAAAGAAAGTGTTTAACAGCTCTGAAAATGGAAACAGTATGTTTCTCCGAAACGTTGTACTTCATATGAGTCCACACGGCGTCACAACGCAGAGCAGCATTGACAGGTGTTGAACAGGCCTACCATTGCGCCGTAATAACTAAGTCGGTGCTAATACTGCGTATATGGAAATTTATTCAATAAAGCAAAGGTAAAAGTTGCCCCTGTACGCCATGGCGGCGAATAGGCGCGTGGAGAAGAAACCCCGGAAATTGGGGGAGGTTTAGTCAGTTTCCTTTTAAAATCACGTGGCTGACTTCTAGTGAAAGCTGTTGAACCGAAAGTTGCAGTTTAATGGCATTGTTCATGCTATGTTCGGTAAAGTATGAAGATATGCCATTACATCAGATCTCGCGCCTGAGAAGCTAGAGAGGGTGATATATCGTTTTGTTACACTAAGTCAGGAAGTTATTTTTACAAGTGTTTGCACTTCTGTGCACAAAGTTTAGTTACGTCTTGATATAAAATACAAGCATGCTAGTTGCACATTGAAGTGAGTATAGTGGCCCTCATGCTGCAACGTAACGTGGTTCTTGTAGCTCCAAAGCATGTGTGAAGGTCAGAACCATAACAGAGCTACCCTGGCACAGTGAGACGGTTTGACGCATCGTGGCCTAGTGTCAGGCATAATGCCAGTATAATAAATTGTATTACATTGATGTATTGTGGGTAATTTGACGACGCTGTATCAACTCCATTGCGTATTTTACGTAAAATTATATGATAATATTGTTACGATCTGTGTCCTTGAGAGGAATAAGGGGAGGAGGTGATCAAGGTTTGAAGGTACTAACCTTGCATTTGCCTGGCAGAACTGAAGAAAACCTGAGTAGTTTGTGTTTCTGTCGAGATTCGAACCCGGCATGTCGTGAATACAGGTTTGGAGCATTACTGCTAGAGCAGTTTTACTTTAATAAAGAGCCTAAAAAATAGGCTTATATTGTTGTCATAATAGATAAGCCATCATATCAGTTCAGTTTATTACATGGACAAAGAATGGGTATTTTCAGTAATATTGATACAGTAGTAATGACCTTTGTACTTGCTTTTGTATAATGTTTTGTGCAAACCTGTGACTAAAAGCCCATGGACACGCCCACTTGTTTTGTCCTCATAGGTCTATGGACACCAGTTAAATATTGCAGATAAAATGTTATTTTGGATACATATGTGAATGTATTGTTAAGATAATTTTGAAATATCCTATAGTTATCTCTTTCAGCTTGATAGGTCTGAACATCTTATGACAGTTGGAAAATTATCATCGATTGTTCATGACTGGAACACACTGGATATTCAGAGTAGTAGACATTTGGTATTTAATTGTGTTGAGATCTGTAGATAATTCTCTTTAACTGCTGTTGCAGGTTGGCTCTGTGTGTGAAGTGAAACATCCTGACAAGAAAGAGTTTGTTGAAGCCACCATAAACAAAATACAAGATTGTAGCCAGTACACTGTTGGTTAGTTTGTAGCTCATGTTAAACGTTCACTTTATTCTTACTTTCATTAGAAGGAACAAATGGGATTTTATATCATAATCTTGTTAAATACTTCTGAAAATAATCATGTCAGACATAGAGGCACTTTGTGTGTGTTGCCTTACAGCCACGTCTCTTCATGTATATATCTTTTCCCATACATTTTTACAGTTGTATGTTTGCTTGCTGAGCATTCATATAGTACTTAGCTATGTGAAATATTGCTGTCCTGCATGCGTATGGGCTGGAATTATAGGTGATAAGGTTATTTTTATAAAAGTTTGAATTTTTTTTCTTCAGTTTTTGATGATGGTGATATCACAACACTGAGAAGAACTGCCCTCTGTCTCAAAAGTGGTCGTCATTTTGCTGAAAGTGAGACGCTGGACCAATTGCCACTAACACACCCCGAGCACTTTGGAAATCCAGTCATAGGAGGCCGGAAAGGAAGGCGAAGCCGTCAAACACAGTACGTGACATTATGTTTATGTATTTTTTTATTTCTACTTACATGAAAACCAGTAGTCTTTCATTATAAGGAGCAGTATTATAAACAGCTTTATTCTTATTCCAAATGCTGACTTGTTACTATAAAATTTTAGTATTTAACACAATTGACCTTTCTTGTAGGTGCTGTAGAAATAATCAGCACTTTAATTGTGTAGTCAATTAAAGTTTCCAGCGCAAGTAAAATGTAAAAAGTGTGTTACTTGATTCAGAAATAAGGAAGGAAGGACTACTTTTCC